AGCAAAACTCTAAGAATTATGAAAATATCCTATAAAACAAAGGAGTGTTTGATTGACGGGCCATTACACTACTACAAAAGATGGTTTTAGGAGCACCTTTATTGGAGCAAAAACAAAAGTACTCCTCAATTGAGAGACAAAACTTTTCGAAGCACTTTTTATTTAAAAGCGCTCTGGAATGCATAACATATAAGAGCGCTTTATCAACGAGCGCTCCTAAAATATCATAAAAACATAAAAAATAATTTATACTTTCTTTAAGGAGCGCTCAAAATTCGTATGCTTTTAGGAGCACTTATAATAAGAGTGTTCCACAAAAGAAAATAATAAAAAAATATATTAATTTTTAGGAGTGTTTATTTATAAAGTGTTTTTAAATAATAAACTCTTTAGAAGTTCCCCTAAAGATTTATAAAAAAATAAAAAAATATTTTTTTTAGAGTGCTTTATAATAAAACACTTTAAAAGATTCTAAAAAAATAAATAAAAATTGATATTACCTTTTAGAGTGCTTTATATTTAAACACTCTAAAAAGTTTTAAGAAAATAAATAAATAAAAAATAATATTATTTTTTAAAGCATTTTGTATTTAAGCTCTTCAAAAGGTTAAAAAAAAATTAATATTTTAAAACGCTTTCTATTAAGTGTTACAAAAGATTTTAAAAAATAAACAAATAAAACATCATGTCACCTTTTAAAATTTTTTTAATAAACCTTATAAATAATTTTTAAAAAAATAATAAAATATGATATTATTTTTTAGAGTACTTTTTAAATTAAGTGTTGGAAATGTTAAATTTTAAGAATACTTTACTATAAAGTTTTTATGAAAGTCTTTTTTAATTTTTTCCTAAACAGTTTCTTTTTCAGATTTAGAGCGTCAGATGTGTCGCCCCAGTCCCCAAGCGGAGTCGAACCTTCTGTCACAAAACCCTCTCCACCCTTCGTCTGCGCCATCCCGACCCGACGCCGCAGGAGTTCGCCGTCGAATGCCGTAGGAAGCGTCGCTCTGCCGTCGTCACACGTGCCCTTTCAGTCGCTTCGATACCACGCTGTTCCCGCTGGACCATGTGTTTTCCGTCGCTCTCAGCTGCTCCGTTTCTGCTGCGCCGCTGAACCTTTTCCTCTGCTCCATTGCCCCTTTCCATCGCACCGTTTCCAATGTTCACTGTGCCGTTTCTGCGTCGCCCTCAGTCTTGGTCGGCAACGGGTAAGTACATAGCAGTTTTTCAATTTTATTTATTGAATATTTAATATTATCATGTTATATATATATATATATATATATAATATTAAGCCGTATTTGTCACTGGGCCCTATCACTCCGTCCACATTTTCGATTTTCACTGTGCTCTAGCCTTTGTCCGACCTTCCGAACGCCCCGGCGTTTTCTATTTACAAATGGGGCTCATCTATTCGGGCCGGCTTTCTTACCTCATGGGCTCATGTATTGTTAGTACAACCACCATCATTTTAGGTCTTTATTCAAATTTCAAAGGGTTAATATATTTATTTGGATAGATAATTTGATGTCCTGAGTGTCCTAAAAGACTACACTGTAATTAGGTCGCTTAAAAATTTAAGTTGATTTCTCTGTTTTTTCCCAACAATTTTACTCATTATGTGTGTCGGTGGTGGTTTTGGATCTTTTTTAGTTTTTATTTTCCCTAGTCTCTTGTGTTCTAATTGAAAAAATTTCAAACGCCTAGGAGTGTACAGGAGCTTGTTCCGATCCAGTTCCTAGGAATTATAATCGATATCGCGTCCAGGCCATCGAAAAGATCTTTTTTTTAAAAAAATAAAAAATCCATCAATTTCAATAATATAATAATAATAATATAAGATATAAAATTTATAACAAGATGTAGTATTCACAAGTTACCACTTTCAAGGTTAAAGGCAAGAGAGATATGTTATTTTTAATTCCTTACAATTTATGGCGAGTTGTTATTGTTATTTATTGTTAAATCTAATTGACATTTGAGTCGATGAAATATTTTATTTTTTCAGGCAACATTGAGTGCTTGTTGGTATCAATCCATTCCTCCATGCAATTTATTATCTTTACTCATTAAGAGATAATAACATTAAGAATTACAGATTTATGAGGATATTATTTAATCAATAAGTTTTTTATCCTATATTTGTTATACATATCAATTATAACAATTGGTAAGAATGGCAAGTTGGTATGCCTAATTTTTATAGGGCCACAATACGTTATCAAAGTGGTGAAAGTCTTCCTCCAAATATGGAAAAGTTTGATCTTGTTAAGTTTTATACTTGGAGAAAAATAAATGTTTGTATTATTTGCTTAATTAAACAAGTTGGTGTGCATTTATATGATTGTTTAATTGATATTTTGAATATGTTATTTTGGATTGATATATAACTCTAGAAAATTTTGGAAAATTCAATTTATAGGGGAGACGCTACCATATTTTCACCAAAAAATCAGAATTACATATATAATTTCATCCCCAAAGTGTTAATAATTAAGTTGAAATTTGTTTATATCTTATTTGGATAATGACATCTTGTATTGTTTTATAGGTACCTAAACAAGTACAAGGTTGAGAGTGTGGATATTATGTGATGAAATTTATGAAAGAAATAATCACATAACAGAAGTTGATCATTTCCGAGAATGTAAGTCAAGTGTTTTAAAATTAAATTAATATAATGTTAATAACATATATGTTGCTTCATTTCTCATGTAGTATTTTGTGAGAGCAAGAACTTCGCATTTTATCATAAAATAGATAGAAGATATAGTTAAAGAGTGATCATAATATATAATTGGTTGTTTGTCATGATAAGTAACTTGGCTTTTAATGTTAGAAACACCAATAGTTTTCATTTGTTGAGCTAGGTAGAAATTAGACAAGTTAGGAAATTGAAGTAGTTGTTTTATTTTTAAATTCTTTCATTGTATATAACCTTTTATATTCAATCATAATGTTTCTGGATTGGTTTTTAATATTAAAATTAGTCATTTTAAACCGATAATATAAGGACATATTGAATTAATTCAATTGTAAAAAATATATATAGATAAGGGAGTGCTCTTGAAGATCTTATCATACAAGAGCAATTTACTAAAGAGCACTCTTGTAAGTTATCATTAGGGAGCGCTCATGAGAGGAGCACTCTTGTAAGGTATCATATGGGAGCACTCTTGAGTAGAGCGCTCCCGTAAGGTACTATAGGAGAGTACTTTACTGAAGAGCGCTCTTGTACGGTACCTTGAGTGCTCCCATATGATAACTTATGAGAGCACTCTTTAAAGAGTGCTCATGTAAGCTAACATTCCCATTCTACATACAGAAGCACTCTTCAAAAGTGCTTTGGAAGTTGACCAAAAGCGCTCTAGTATATTCGAGAGCGTTAGTTATGAGAGCGTTTCCAAAGTGCTTCCAAAGGTCATAATAAAGTGCTATTGTAGGGTTATTTGTAGTTGTGTCAAATGTTGGAAGCGTTAGAACACTATTTGTATTGGAAAGCTATTTATGTGGATACCAATAGAGGGAATCAATCTGCTTTGTCATAAGCTCTTGAGGTTTGAAATACTTGAAAAAAACACATGAAAAATTTAATGCCAAAAGGTAACTCTTCTATCCACCTTAACTTAAACGAATTCGATAGGTTTGCAATCGTGATTGGGGATTTAAATTTTAATTTTTCACTGTACCTCCCAATCCAATAATCAAGACTCTCTATTCCTTTCTACACTTCTTTCAATCTAGTTATGTTTATATGATGGTTTTATTAATGTATCTAGATTGATTCTACCTAGTTGGAAACTTGTAAAAAGGAGTTGATTGTGGGATTGTTATATTTTTCTTTTTTGTTCATAATTGTAATTGACCTTGGAGGTTAATATTTGAATAAAAGTATGTTTAATTTGATCCATTTTCTTCCTCTCTTATCTTTATCAAATGATTGGTAATTGACTTGGGTTGAATAATCTATTGTCAAATGATTGGATTAGGGATAGACATCATAAAATGCCTAAACTCAAAAGCATTATCATCAATCAATTCTTGGTTTCATAATTGCTTAAGATGCTGAGTGTACTAAATTAGTCATCAAGATGGTTTTGTGGCTAGATTAGTACTATAGTGTAGATTCTTCACTTCTCTTGGTGAATTTCGATATCAAGAAGAAAAGGTTGCCTAAATCGTCCATTTGGAACTATGATTGCATAACTCATTGCCTCCTAAAGAACCTGTCATCCATTGAATTCACTCACTCATTTTACTTTCTTTTGTTACTTGTTTTCTTCTTGTTAGATTTTGCCTAGTATTCACTCTTGAAAACTCGTTGGTAACTTGTGACACTTGAGAATCACTCTAGAATCAACTTGAAATAGCTCTTTGGGAAATGGCCTAGATCATGCCCTACGCACGTTAGGGTGAAACTTAATATATTAAGTTGGTGCATATACAATTATTGCTATCAATTTCTACCCTAGCCAAACACTATTCAATCTTGAGGTTCCATCGGTTAAATTCCCATATAAGGTCTACAGAGTCAATAGATATAAGAATCTAAGCTATATTCAAGAGGAATTAAAAAATCATTCACCCTAACTAGCTCAATTTAATCATCTAGAACAGAATTTCTAAACCCTAACTCAAGAATTGTGTATAAAATTAGAAGATTATTAGAGGTCAAGCACCAAAATATTCCTAACCCTTAGAACCTTTGAACCCTAGTAGTGACAGGTTTTTTTCCCCCCACACGAGTGTTTTATAATGATCAGAACCCTAAAATTTTCATTTTAAACCCTTATATATGGGTCTGGTTTCGATCACATCCGCCAGCAGTCATGAAAGTTTAAATTATGTCCACTAGTATAGTTGAACAACAAACAAGGGATGTTGCCTTTGTTCATGTCCGCGCACGGATATGAAATACACACTCCACGTCTGTCCATGAACATGGACAGAGAGCTGAGGCTCTTCTCTTTGTTTGCATCAATCGAATCTCTATGTGGATGACAAAGTCACTTGAAACTCAGTATGTTCTCAGAAAATGCACAAGAGACAAAGATGAGAAAAAGGAGTTTTTCGGGTCTGAGAAAATGCATAAATGTGTAACTATACATACATAACTCCAACGTATAGGAGATGGTTTCTAGATATACATGAAATTGTTGATTGTTCCCTCCCATAACCTTGAATTCTAAGGGGAACTACTACACTCAATCGCCCTGTTTTATTATACTTAAGGACCCAATCTTTTTTCATATTATGATAAAGTTTCATTCTATAATTGAGTTTGTATTTGGGCCTAATCCACCAAAGATGGATAACCCAACAACACTGATTTTTGGCCAACAATAAATGGCCAACAATACTAAACTAAAAATAATACTTTAATTTCAAATGGAAATTGAAGCCAAAATGCAAATCCAATGATGGAAATAGAAAACTAAATTTAATTAAAAAAATCATTAATCTCTTAGGCCAAAATTACTTGAGATGGGCAACGCTCAAATCTATAAGCATGTGCTTCAGACAGCAAATATTGTGCATGCTCCTATTCTGCCCCACACACTTTCGTGTGTCCCTGAATCCTCTGTAGCTTTATTCTATGAACAAGAAATTATACGAAGAAGAAACATAAGATGAAGAAGAATGGAGTATAGAAAACGACGAAGAAGGAAATAAGAGGAAAAAAAACCGCAAGAGATTGAAAAATAAAAACATGGAAAAATCCGACCTTACACCAATTGATAAATTAAGCGCATCAAGCAATTGCAAAATTGAATTTTTTTGTTTGAATTTTAATTAAAAAAAAAAAGAAAAGACGAAGCATTGCACCAATGCCCCGAAACAAGCCACCATTGCATGAAGTCAAATGAATTATTTTTGGCTTTATGAATAGTAAATTGTGTCTAGAGCCATGAAGTCATTTTTCTAGCTTGTGGCTTTGGAAGAACCCTTCTGTGAGATATATTGATATCTTCTGGTGCATTATCACACAAAGTATAAAACATGATCCATATTATTCATGAGGAACTGCCAGGTGTGATAAATTTTGATAAATATGTAAGCTCTAATTTCATTAAAAATCTCTCTTTTTATAAAGGGAAGTATTTCTCAAATCATTTTATCATGATTTTTCTCAATATAAATGTAAATAATATGATTAAAAAAAACTTCGGGCTAAAAGTTTGAAGTTAATGAATGTCGATAATCATTTCAGTACACTGTTTACTTCTTAAATATAATTCTAGAGATTGAGTGAGCATACATAAAAAATATACTTATAGAAAAATAGGGTTAAAATGAAAATTTGTAAAAATATACATATTTAAACAAAATGCAAAGGGTTATTTTCACGCAAATTTAGAAAAATATATTTTTGGTTAAATCAACAGTATTTGAATGACGGACTTAGATTGTTTTTAAAATAAGGGAGAATGATAATTAAGGACCTGCTAAGAACATTAATTTCAATTATGGACCGTAAAATTTTGAAATCAGAGTTAAGGACTATGGTCCTTAATTGTGATAAAAAAATGTAATTTGTGAGGTGGAATTTACTAACGTGACTTGAAAATTCACTAACTCAACTTAAGAAAATTACTAACGTATATTGTGAAAACATGAAACCCCACTTGAAAATGGAATGTTTAACAAAAAGTGTCACTTGGGAATTCACTAACTAGACTTGAAAAAATTTCTAGCGTATATTATGAAAAAATGAAACCTCACTTGAGAATCATTAATACAAAATGACTTATCCAAATTTTATTTTTTATTAAACAATCGATTCCCAAGTGAAGTTTTATGTTTTCATAATATACGTTAGAAATTTTTTCAAGTCTAGTTAGTGAATTCTCAAATGGTGCTTTTTGTTAAACATTTCATTTTCAAGTGGAGTTTCATGTTTTCACAATATACGTTACAAATTTTCTCAAGTTGGGTTAGTGAATTTCCAAGTGACAATAATGAATCCCACTTCACAAATTATATTTTTTTAATCACAATTAAGGACCATGGTCCTTAACTAGAATTTTAAAATTTCACAGTTCGTAATTGAGATTAATGTTTTTAGCAGGTCCTTAATTGTCATTCTCCCTTAAAATATCTTCAATGACAAGCGTGCTTAAAGTAAATATAAGGAAATATATTTAGTAAGAACTAATCAAAGCTTGATGAAGAATATAAACCTAACAAAACAGAACATCAATCAAAGCATTATGCTATTTTTAATGAAAACACAATAATTACAACAACATTTATTATAACACAAAGTAATTTGAATGAAGAAAAAGTTTTGAATGAAACGAAAACCTATTTACCTTACTGAATTTGGAAGGTCTAAAATTGTGTCTTGATCGTTACAACCATTAGAGGAATTAGAGCAATATTAGAAAGCTGTCAAATTGTTATAACTATCAAAAATATATTTTTAAAACTAATTTTAAATTACGCTATGATATATAAGTGCCTCCAGGAATTTTAAATTTGCAGCAAATAATTGAGTTGAATTTCTATTGAAATAGATTCAATTCAATTATCAATGATGGCAATGACACGCTTTGTCATCATAACCCTTTTTATTTTTAACATGCACATCAATCCTTTAAGAGCTTTTCATCATCGTTTTGATCAATTTTCATTTCCACTTAACCCATTTGATGGTAATGAAGAAGACACTTTTCTTCAACCACCACCATCATCGCAACAAGTTAATCCACCAATGCTACTCAGAAACTCCAAGAAGATTTTTATGGTCAGAGTTGCCCGAAAGCTGAACAAATTGTTGCTGATCAAGTTGCCCAGGTTGCAAAAACCAATCCTGATGCAATAGCTGCCCTCATTCGTCTTCAATTTCATGACTGTTTTGTTGGTGTAAGCTTAATTTCTTCCTCTTCATATATATATATATATATATATGTAGATATTGGTTCTTAACTATAGGTCTAAAAGTGTCTACCCTAATTTCATCTTTGATACAATATTTTTCAACTTTTAAAAATAGTATAATTTAATCCTTGCCATAAATAAAAAATCTAACTTTAATTGTTAGTTGATTAGAAAGTCATAAAAAATGACCTCAAAAATTTATATAAAATGATCCAAAAATTACAATAAAGGACACAAAAATTTCATAAAAGGACCAAATAAATTTATCGGCCATTTTTTGTTATTTTTGAGAACATTTTTTATCATTTTCTATTCAACTAACAATTGAAGTTAGCTTTTGTTAATAGTAGAGGTTAAATTGCACTATTTTTAAAAGTTAAAAGGAAATATTTGTGCCCAAAATGAGTTAGCTAGAGTTCTAGACACACCTGGACTCACAGCTTAGAGACAATTTGCCCTTTTACTCTTCAAGTTATATAATTCTAATGAATTTCTTATTAAACTAAATGAGTTGGAAATTTATTAACAGGGATGTGATGCCTCAATTTTATTAGACGAAATGCCTACTGGCGATGCTGTAGAGAAATCATCAATGTTTAATGGTGAACTCCTTAAAGGTGCAGATATCATTGATGACATTAAAGCAAAGCTAGAGCAAGAATGTCCAGGAATTGTGTCATGTGCAGATATATTAGCTTTTGCTGCTTCAGAATCTTTGGTATTAGGTGGTTTGCCAGCTCATCAACCTAAACTAGGTGGTCGTAGAGATGGATTGGTTTCCATTGCTTCTAATGCAGAAAGTAACCTACCATTGCCAACTTGGTCGATGGATCAAATGCTACAACTTTTCAACAGAAAAGGGTTCAATGAGGAAGATTTTGTTGTTCTCCTTGGTGCACATTCAATTGGTGCTGCTCATTGTTCTGTATTTAGTGATAGGTTATACAATTATGAGCAAAGTGGGAAGTCAGATCCAGCTTTAACCCAAGAAGTCATTAAGGAACTCAAACAAAAATGTAAGATCCCGGGAACACCAGAGGCAAGAGAGAACCCACGTGTGAACTTTGATGAGACCCCAACAATAGTTGATAATATCTTCTTCAGGAACCTTGTTGAAAGGAAAAAAGCATTACTTGCTTCAGACCAATTATTGATTGTTGATAATAGAACAGCTCTGATTGTGGAAAAGATGGCAAGAGATCCCAATTTGTTCCCTAGAAAATTTGTTGTGGCAATGATGAGATTGGCTTCTTTAGGTGTGCTCACAATGAATGAAGGAGAGGTTAGGACCACATGTAGAGCCACCAATAATTGAATTCCCTTCAATTCAAGTGAATGTATTTGCTCTGTAGCTAACGATTTTAATATACAATTTCATTTTTGTTCTTTTGGTCTTGTGATTTGTGGTTATTTTATGTTGATTTTTAATTTGTTTTAGCATTTTCATTCTGAAATTATTCATGACACATGATAGTTTAGAAACATGTTGAGCTCAAATAAGTGAAAATTAATGTAAATTAATATTAAAACTAATTGATAATTTAAAATGTCTATAGCCAACATGTAATGCTCCTATAAGCAAATATAAATGAAGCACAATTTGATGTTTAAATGCTCAAGATTAAACATAGATAAATTAAAGAAGAAAAGATTGAACATACAAGCCCCAACCAAAGATTCTATCCCGAAGTATCTAGGCACCAAACATGTAACTCTCCACTATGACAGCCCACCAGCACACATACAATTAAACGAGAAACATCCATATAACTTATGACTATACCATTTTATAGGACAATTCACTAATCACCTTAAATATATAATATTTTACCCCATGAAAACTTATTCATAAGAAATAATAAATAAATATCAGAAGTGAGGGATCAATTTTGCCGCCATTCAGGGAATAATTGTAGCTATGAGCAAATATAGGAATATAAAGTATTGGAAGCATAAAGTTAGGTTAATATTATAGTATTGAGATGTTTTGTAACATTTGGTATCAAAGTCTTTGATTTCACATTCTGATGCCACATGTTACATAGTATTTCAATATTTACTTATTTTAGTTTATGTAATTATTAAGATAGTTTGTAATATTTACTTCATACATTCAATAGTATTGGCTATTTAATGAATAAATATTTTCTCTTTCAATTTATACATAGAAACTCGTTGTAACTCTTGGATACATGTATCGCAAGTGTTATCCATTTTTCCTTCTAGCAAATGAAGGAAATTATCTATAAATTATATGGAAGGTGTGAAGTCTGAAACATAGATTCTCGTCAAACTTACTCATTTTATTTTATTTAATTATTACGATACTTTATAACACATGATATCATAACCAAATTTTAATTCCAAATTTTGATTCCATAAAAGCAACTACATGGACACATGATTTTAACAAACCTACCTTTTTCTAAAATAATAATAAATTACAAGGTAACAAAGCAATGACTGATATATAAAGACCACAAATAGTATATTTTCACTACTACCAAAAAAGCCTTTTTGAATGTTTATTTTTGCCTTTTCGAAGCATTTTCAAAACACTCTGAAAATAGAAGCTCCTATATGTACTAGAGCATTTTTGAAATGCTTTTATAGGTAGGCATATGAGAGTTTCTAGCCATAAATGCTCCTATAGGCTTACCCTACAAGAGCTTTTATATGTAAAAAAGCTCCTATATGATGAGCCTGTAAGAGCAGTTCATGGAAGAAGAGCTCTTGTAGGCCTATCATATGGGAGCATTACTCCTCCAAAATGCTCTCATATGGTTCTCCCATAGGAGCTTTTCTTATTAGAAACACTCCCATATCTTTATTTTTTAAAAAAAAATATTTATTTTTTAATGCTAACTTGTGTCATGTTTAATTTTAATTGCTATAATCATTTAACTAAAAATTTAAATACACATCTTTTAACTAATAAATCATAATAACAAAATATAATAATATACTATCAACTTGTACAAGAAATTTTATTTATACAATTAATATAAGTTAATAAACAATTTTAGATACCAAAAGTCAAATTAAACACAACTATTCTTTAATACTATACAAACTCTCTACCATGATAGAAAATAGACTACCATCATGGTAATTAAAAATTAACCTAATAATTGTTAATAAAACTCATAATTTGCAAATCATGGATATCCCTAAAATCATAAACAGTCATAGTATCATCAAACGCCATATAATCCAACAATCATGCAACAATTGAAAGACAGTCTAGCCTTTTCTATGATCACTCTCAACTAGAATTAAAACAAATAGCATGCCAACTATTAATTCAAGATATAAGCAATAACAACAACAACAAGCCTTTATCCCACTAGGTGGGGTCGGCTACATAGATTGCAAGACGCCATTGTACTCTATCATTTATCAAGCTTTTAGGAATGTTATTAATTAAGAGATCGCATTCAATAACTTCCAAGAGTGTTTTCTTACGCCTTCCTCTACCTCTCTTAATCAGACTCAAAGTTATATGTTCTACTCTTCTCACTGGTACCTCCCTTGGTCTTCTTTATACATGCCCAAACCATCTCAACTGATTTTCTACCATTTTTTCCTCAATAGGTGCCACCCTCACTTTTTCGTGTATGTGCTCATTTCGAATTTTATCTTTACGTGTATGTCCACACATCCATCGTAACATTCTCATCTCTGCTACTCCAATTTTATGCTCTTGCTATCCCGTTAGAGCCCAACATTTACTACTATATAACATTGCCGGTCTGATAGCAGTGTGATAAAACTTTCCTTTAAGTTTATTAGGCACCTTACAGTCACAAATAACTCCTTTAGCTTTTATCCAATTAAACCATCCAGCTTGAATTCTATGTGAAATATCTCCACTGATTTCACCATCATTTTGAATAATGGCTCCCAAATATCTAAATTTTTCCACTTGAGGTATAATTTGATCTCCTAATTTTACTTCCAAATTATTATCAAATAGTCCTTTACCAAATTTACAATATAAATATTCCGTCTTACTTCTACTTAGACGAAAACCTTTCGACTCCAATGTACTCCTCCATAACTCAAGTTTGCAATTAACCTCTTCTCTTGTCTCTGCTATAAGAACTATATCATCCGCGAAGAGCATACATTTCAGAATTTCCCTTTGAATATGTTCCGTCAAAACATTTAAGATCAAGTTAAACAAATAAGGACTCAGAGATGATCCCTGATGTAGTCCAATCTTTATAGGAAAATCTTTTGTTTGACCACTAGACGTTTTTATACTAGTTTTTACCCCCTCATACATATCTTGTATGGCTTTAATATAAGCAATCCATACTCCCTTTTTTTCTAACGCTTTCCAAAGCACTTCTCTTGGTATACGGTCATAAGCTTTTTCCAAATCAATAAAAACTATGTGTAGATCTTTATCTTTACAACGATACTTTTCCATTAATCCCCTTAGTAGATAAATCGCCTCTGTAGTTGATCTACCTGGCATAAAACCAAACTGATTCTCAGAAATACTTGTCTCCAATCTCAACCTGTGCTCAATTACTTTCTCCCACAATTTCATTGTGTGGCTCATGAGTTTAATCCCTCTATAGTTAGTACAATTCTGAATATCTCCTTTATTTTTATAAATAGGAATTAATGTACTTCTCCTCCACTCATCAGGCATTTTCTTGGACCGTAAAATCACATTAAATAACTTAGTTAACCATCTCACCCCTTCTTCACCTAAACATTTTCACGCTTCGATATATATACAATCAGGTCTGTTGGCTCTACCATTTGCCATTTTCTTAAGAGCTTCCTTTACCTCCTTATCACGTATTATTTGATAGAATGACAAATTTTGTTCTCCTTCACCAGTTACTAAATCCTCCAAGTTACTAGATGAACCCTCTCCATCATTGAAAAGTTTAGAAAAGTAAGTCTCCCATCTAATTCAAGATATAAGATGTAGGAAAAATCTTAAATTTTTATTAGTACAAAATTTACAATACAAATTGACTTGAGGTATTATAGTTAGAATACCTCAAGCCTTAACTAGCATCTCCTTTGCTTGACTCAAGTGTTCACCAAAACAAGTTTAATGACAAAGGGGCATAAATACTCAAGAAGTTATCAGCCAAGAGCATCTAGTAATTAAAGTGAGGAAAAGTGCATGAGTGCCCATAAAGTTATTTTTTTTCGTGTATTTGTGACCAAACCATTAAAAGTCAACAACATTGACTGTTAGGTTGTGGACCGAAAATTTAACTCTTTGATCACAAATGCATCAAAAAAATAACTTCATAGGCAATCGTGCACTTTTTCTCACTTTAAGCTATTGAATGCTCCTGGTAGATGACTTCTTAAGTATTTTTGCTCTTTTGCTCAATGTTTAACCATAATAATGAGATCGAAAGGTCCCTATAACCATGTAATAATTTAACAAACATGTAGGCATGTTCTAGAGGCACTTAAGCAAAAATAAGTTAATAATAAATAACTAAATAATTAAATAAACAATCTAATATATGAAATCATTAGAGCATATATCTCATATGAATTGACAACAAAAAAAAACAAACATGTCATCATATGATTGTAAACATCTCTCCCTTATATCATTCTTATACTAGTAAATGAACCCATTGGTTGTCATAATTAAATAGGACTTGTCCATGAAATTAAACCTCACCAAGTTCACCATTGATGAGATGTGACTTGGCCCAAGGTGCAGAACTCAACACTGGTCCATGGCTTCCCTCTCCTTTATAACCAAGTTGAGGAGTCATATGTCCTAAGGTTTAATTCCAATCCAGACCAAAGGAAGGAAACATACCAAGGACCCTAAGAATGTAAAGCCATCCACTAAGCGTTTAGTGGTAATAAACCATGTGGTCAATGTATACTATAGTCAATAGCATCCCTATAATCACCTCCCAATCTCACCTTTGCCAATAATTCCCAATTCACAACCCAACAACACAATATCTCCAATTCAAATATAGTCACAAGTAAGAATCACATCTATGATATATAACATATCACAATTTCAATATAAATCATCTACTTATCAGAGTAGGCCACAATATTACTCACATTCATTTTTGATATAGCAAGCCATCCATTTCAAATTTGTAGTCTCAAATATATATATATATATATATAAACATTTTTCCAAATCTCTTTCCTAATATTTATAAGGAGTTAGTTCCTACTCAACCATGTATTACACGACAACAATCCCTAAAAAATAGATAACTAGCATGTGAGGTAAATTAAACATGGTTACTGTAACACTTGTCTTAAGTGTTATCCAAAAATCACCCAAGTCAAATA